CGCTGCGTCGCCCTCGCGCTGCGTCGCCCTTGTTTCCAAGTTCTATCCATGTGAAAGCATCTAATTTAACTTTGTTAATTTTATTAGAATCAAGGTTCTGGTGTGTGGTACAAAACTATGCACATTCTTAATATTGCTTCTCAACTATCTATATACAGAACAGATCATTCAGGAGGCTATGCTCTACGAGGAGGAGTGTGGAATCAGGATTGGAGGAAGACTCATCAACAACCTGCGTTATACAGATGGCATAACTGTGCTTGCTGAAACTGAGGACCTGATGCTCTTGCTACAGAAGGATAGGGATTGCAGCCGTTACTATGGATTGGAGCTCAACATCAAGAGACAAAGATTCTCACCCCTGGTCCAATTAGCAGTATTATGATAGATGGTGAAGAGATTGAGATTGTTAACAGCTTTAGTTTGCTTGACTTCACAGTCAACACTCTTGGCACCAGCAGTCAGGAAAGTAAAAGACATATTGTGATAAGAAAATCTGCTGTTAGGAACCTCTCCAAAGTACTGAAGAGCAATGGTGTAACTCTGGAGACTAAGGTTTTTGTGATCACTTGCTCTGTGTCAGAGAGCTGGAAAATGACTAGGGATAGAAGGAGGATTGATGCTTTCGAGCTGTGGTGTTGGAAAAGAGTATTGAATATTCCATAGACTGCTAAGAAAACGAACATGTTTATCCTGGAGAAAGTTAAACCATGATACTCTTGTAGGCAAGTATTCTGAATCTTTGTCTGACATACTTTGGATATGTTGCAAAAAGCGACCTTGGAGAGGGACATCATGCTTGGGAGGGTGGAGGGACAGTGCAGAAGACCCTCTGTGAGGTGGATTGATTCAGTGACTGGGTTAATTGGGATAGGTGTGTTGGAGATAGTGAGATTGGCACAAGATAGAACAGGGTTTGGGGCTGTTATACATAGTGTTGCTATGAGTTGCAGGCCACTTGATGGCACATAACAACAACAACAACAATGAGTACACAGTAGCACAGAAGAATTTCATGGAACAATTTATATTCAAGAGACAATGGTGATGAAGGAGGAAGTTGAAGCTTCTCTGAAGGAATTGGCAAAATATAAAGCCCCAGGAATTGATGGAATACCAATCGACATATTTCAACAAGCATATGCAGCCCTGAACCTACTCACCAGGTTGTGGAGAACAACCACCTGGCTAACTGACTGGAAGAGATCCATACTTATTCCCATTCTAAAAAAAGGTGATTCAACACGTGTTGAAATTATCAAACAATATCACCAATATCACACACAAGCAAAATCCTTTCGTTGTTGTTGTTATGTGCCATTGAGTGCCATTGAGAGCTCTAAACACTGTTCTATCCTGTGCCAACCTAGCCACCTCAAACGCACTTATTCCCACAGTTCCAGTCACAGAATTGATCCATCTCATCTCAGGTCTTCCTCTCTTTCACATCGTCTCCAGTCTGCCAAACATGATGTCCCTCTCCAAGGACCAATCTCTCCTTGCAACATGCCCAAAATATGTCAGATGAAGCTTCAGAATCCTGGACTCCAAGGAGCATTCCGCCTTCACCTTCTCCAGGACAAAACTGTTTGTTCTCCTAGTAGTCCATGGTATATTCAACACTTTTCTCCAGCACCAAAGCTCAAAAGCATCAATTCTCTTTCTATCAACCCTATTCACTGTCCAACTCTCTGGTGCATAGCATGTAATTGTGAAGACTATAGCCCAGATCAGGCACAACTTAGTCTCCAGCCTGACATCGTTGCTCTTCAGTACTCTTGAGAGGTCTCTCACAGCCGACTTTCCCAATGCAATTCGTCTCTTGATTTCCTGGCTGCTGTTACCAGGAGTGTTGATTGTAGAGCCAAGCAAACTAAAACTGTTAACTCTCTCAATCTCTTCACCATCCATACTGATGCTGCCAATTGGCCCAGTGGTGAGAATCTTTGTTTTCTTGATGTTGAGCTTCAATCCATACAGGAAGCTGCAGTCCTTGACCTTCTGCAGCAAGCGCTTCAGGTCCTCCTCAGTTTCAGCAAGTAGGGTTGTGTGTGTCATCTGCATAATGCAGGTTGTTGATGACTCTTCCACCAATCCTGATGCCACATTCCTCTTTGTACAGCCCAGCGTCTCGGATGATCTGTTCTGCATACTGAAAATTATTCAAATGCAACTGGAACAGTACATTGACAGAGAACTGTCATAAATACAAGCTGAGTTTAGAAGAGGCCGTGGCAATAGAGACATCATTGCCCATGTATGATGGATCTTGGTTGAAAGCAGAAAGTACTAGAGAAATATCTATCTATGTTTCATGAATATGTAATAGCATTTGACTATATGGATCACAACAAATTTTGGCTAACCTCGAGAAAAATGGGAATTCCAGAACTCCTGATTGTGCTCATGAGAAACCTATACTTGGCCCAGAAGGCATTTGTCAGAACAGAGCAAGGTCATTGCATGACTTGTCATCTGATTAGATAAAAAACAAAGAATGAAAAACTAAAACAGTGAGTTTTGTATAAAGAAGGAACTCTGGCGGCCTAATCTGTAGGGAGTTATATTTATAGTGGTTTGGATCTACCAGCGACTTTGGGGGAGAAAGATGGGTGAGCAATGCCCCCCCATTTTTATTTTATATTGGCTTGCTTACAGAGTTAGTATACATTATGTTTCATGCTGTTCTTCATTCATCTTTTGTTTCATACAATCATTCTCATTTTATAAATAAATCACTGTCACCCACTATGCCCACCACTACCCTATCTTTTCAGGTCCTCCTGTGCAATTTATAGCCTTGAAAATCCACTGAATAGTCAGCTCTGAATTAGATGAGACTTGATTACAATTAACTTGAGTTTGAAATATATTTTAAAAGATTTTTAGCTCAGGATGTAATTTCTATTCATTTTTCAAAGTCTCTTTGCAGCATACAGTAACAATGATTTTGTAAATAATTACCTAACTTGGGAGGGACTGGAGAGCATTGTTGTTGTTGACTGCCATCGTGTCAAGCATGACTAACAGTGACCCTATGAAGAAAAGGCCTGAAGCCTTTCTATGACTATCGTCATTTATCAAAGATCATAGACTTTTCAGAAGCATGTTGTTTAGGAAGTGGATGCCATTTTTGCTTCCAAACCTATCTTAAACTGGGAGCTCCCACCGTACACTGTCCACCATGGGTAACTGTTATGACATTTGAAATCCCAATGGCACAAGGTTCAGGATCACAACAACCCCAGATTACCTCAATACAACACACTGACAGAAGCCTTCTGTACCACTTAGAAGAATGTTCCTCCAAAATATAATAACAACCGACTTTTAAATACAAAGGCTCTCCCTGAGGTCTTGTTGACTCTAAACAAGAGCCTTAAATAAAACCCCCCCAACCAACCAGTATAGTATATAGTTGTTGTTATATACCATTGAGTTGCTTGTGATGTATAGTGACCTTATGTGTAGCAGCTCTGAACCCTTTCCTGTCCTGAGCAAATCTCATTAATTTTGACACACCAACCCTCATTGTCCCAGGTACTGTATCAGTCCATCTCATCCAGGGTCTTCCTCTCTGTGATATCCCTCCACCCTTTCGAGCATGATGTCCTCCAGGGATCAATCCCTCCTGGCCACACGCCCAAAGTATGTAAGATGGAGCTTCAAAATCCTAGTCTCCAAGGAAAGACTTGGTTTCACTCTCTCCAAGACAGACGTATTTGTTTTCATGGCAGTTCCTGGTATGCTCAAGACTCTTCTTCAGCACCACAACTCGAAGGCATCTATTCTTCTGTTATCCTTACTCATTGTCCAGCTCTATGAAGCATAACAAGTGATTGAGAAGAGCATGGCCTGTGTTCAACAGCCCTAAGCCCTGCTCTTTCTTGTGCCAATCTCACTGTCTCTCTGACACACCTACCCCAATTACCCCAGTCACTGATTCAATCCACCTCATAGAGGGTCTTTCCCTCCTGTGCTGTCCCTCTATCCTCCCAAGCATGATGTCCTTCTCCAAGGACTGGCTCCTCCTTGCAACATGCCCAATGTATGTCACATGAAGCTTCAGAATCCTTGCCTCCAAGGAGCAGCCCAGTTTAACTCTCTTGAGGATGAACCTGTTCATTTTCTTAGCAGTCCATGGTATATTCAATACTCTTTTCCAACACCACAGCTCAAAGGCATCAATTTTCCTTCTATTATAATATGCTTCTTTAATTTCTGGAGCTCTTTTTGGGTATGTTCAATCATGTGAACCAGATTTTTATTGATTCCCAGCCATTGCTGTGACATTACTTCTAGATTCTCAATTCTAACTGCTTGATGTTCTAACTGGAGCATAGAATTATTTACACATCCTTGCCAGGCAATAATAACGTTTTTCTGACCTGATGAAGGAGCTGTAAGCTCATACCATTTCATACTGAGAAACTCAATTGGTTGTTGATCAGCCAGTCTTTGAAACTCATTTATCATTATGTCGTTTTCAGAACCTGAATAATTTTGGACTATCAGGTAGCTCTGATTGTTCTTTGTAGATCGGTATCTGTGAGTTTCCTCCTCCACCAGTGCCTCAGCCTCTTCATGAATGTTGGGCCCTTCATAACCTTGATCAAAATAAGGCAGGGCATCCACTACAATCTCTCCAGCCACTAAAACTGTACCAGCCATTATTATTACTTAAGGTTTAATAGAAATCTAGAAAATCCTTGTTATGGATTGAAGTTATTCTAAAAAATATCTCAACTTGATTTGCCATAGTTCTCACTGGTTTTGTAGTTCTGCAATAATGTAACCCCCACCCTAACCCCCCTGCCATGATGTGGTATTATGTGATCAGTCTTCCTCTGATGTAAGGAGACAAGGGTGGAATGTTAACACTCTTAATCATATATTTGTCCTTACGTGATGTGAGAAGAGTTTCCTTAGAGTGTGATCTCTGACACCTTTTGTCTGAAAAGAAGTAAAAGGAGAGATAATTGAACAAAGAGAGAGAACTTACTCACAAAGAAATAAGAGCCAGTAGGAACCTCCAAGAGCAAAGAAACACAAAGAGAGCCAACACTCTGATTTGGATTTCTAGCCTTCTGAACTGTAAGAAAAATACATTTCTGTCTGTTAATGTCACACATTGGTGGTTTCTTAGTTCCAGCAGTACCAGACCAAAGTGAGGCATGCAGGAGTAACTGGGAGATCCTCAAGATGCCCTATGGTTTTAGGGATGTTTTGCCCATCACTGGATAGGTTAGAAGAGAATCCTCGATTGGTTTTTTCCATCTCATGATCAAACTTGTTATGTGCTGTCGAGTCACTTGCAACTCAGAGCAATCCTGTGTACAGCAGTTCTGAACTCTGTTCTATCCTGAGCCAACCTTCTTTTCTCTAACATACCTACCCCCTTTAACCCAGTCACTGAGTTAATCCATCTCATCAAGTGTCTTCTTCTCTTGCACTGTCTCTCCACCCTCCCATGCATGATGTCCCTCTCCAAGGACTGGTTACTCCTTGCAAAAAGCCCAAAATAAGTCTGATGGAGCTTCAGAATCCTTACCTCCAAGGAGAAGCCTGGTTTCACCCTCTCCAGGACTGACCTGTTTGTTCTCCTAGCAGTTCTTGGTATATTTAGTACTCTTCTCCAGCACCACTACTCAAAGACATCATTTCTCCTTCTATCACCCCAATCATCATTCAGCTCTCTGATGGATAGCAAGTAATTGTGAAGACCATGACCTGGATCAAGTGCACCTTAGTCTCCAAACTGACATTGTTGGTCATTAGTACTCTAGAGAAGTCCCTGACAGCAGACTTTCTAATGTGATTAGTCTTCTGATTTCCTGGCTGCTGGTACCAAGAATGTTGACTGTAGATCCAAGTAAACTGAAGCTGATCAAACTTAAGTGAATTTAGAAAATTCTGTGGGCTCTAAAATTGGCTACTTAAGCATCTCTGACACTAGACGTTCTGAGGTAAGAACTAAGGTCATCTCAAAGGACTAGTCTACTAAGCTAATGACCACCTTGGTGTCTTAACAGATGCTGCTATAACAGAACTTTAACAATAAACTTTAACAAGAACTTTAACTATAACTGCTTTAATAAGTTCCTTCTTTTCTTATACTCAGAGGAGCCTGGAAGCCCAAATTCAGAGCACTGACTCTAAGGGAAGGCTCTGCTGATTCTGGGGAGAGGTTCTTGTCTCTTCAGTTTCTATTCCTTAGTTCTTGTCATCTTTATGTGGAGTAATATCTCTTTTCCTTTCTGTGCTTTGGTGCCTAATGACCTCTTTAATATCTCAAAAGTGATTGACTTAAAACATACTCTGCACTGATAAGATATGGCTTTATTAATGGCAAGGTAAATACTGCTCCCAAATATGGTTATATGCACAGGAATAGGGGTTAGCATTTATAGCACACATTTAGGGGGTCACACTGACCTATAGTGAAGCACATGATCGTGACCATTAGGGGACATTTTAGCTTCACAACTGAGTGTGGTCCTCCAGGGTGTTCATGGGCATGTTTCATGTGTAGAAGGCGGAGAGATAGGTTTCACAGAGTAGAAAAAATTATTGATAATTTCCATTTAGAGCCATGAGCCATGGAAACATGATGATACTAGGCACTCTGGCTACAATGTCATTATCTGCATGAAATGTAGCAGTTTTACCTACAGAAGCTATCTTTTATCATCTTGTATGTTAGAAATTCTCAAGATTAGTGGGGTTAGAACTGAAGATTTTGATTCTGATTCAGTAGGTTAGAGTCAGTTCTAGATCTCACATTTATTTAATCTTTCAAGAGACGTCCTTGCTCTTTAGCAAATTATTTTGTTTATTGGTTTACTTTCAGTCACTCATGTACATGTTACTTCATAACATAAATTATAATCATATAATGCCATTACTCCAAAAGAACAAAAAGTGATGTCTTGGAGAAAGTGTGACCAAAGTACTCCTTTGAGGCAAAGGTGACACAGCTTTGCCACACATACGTTGGACATGTTGTTGTTAGATACCATTGAGTTGAGTACAACTCATAACAAAACCATCAACAGTAGATCTGAACTCTATTCTATCCTGCACCATCTTTATAATTTCTGAAACATTGCTACAGACACACACTGCATCAGTCTAATTCACTGAGGGTTTTCCTCTCTTTCACTGACCCTCCACCTTTCCAAGCATGACATCCTTCTTCAAGGAATAGCCTCTCCTAGCAACATAGCCAAAATATGTGAGAGGAAGCTCTACCAACTTTACCTTAAATGAACACGCTGATTGCACATTCTCCAAGATGTATCTGTTCTTTTGGCAGCCCATAGGATGTTTCGCCCTCTTCTCCAACACCACAACTCAAAGGGATTATTTCTTCTTCTGTCATCCTTATTCATTGTCCAGCTCTCAGATTCAAAGCAGGTGATTGGAAAGACTGTTGCTTAAATCAGGCACATCTTAGTCTTTAGGCTGACATCACTACTCCTCAGGACTTTGGAGAGGTCTCTGACAGCAGCTTTCCCTAGTACATCTTTGGTTTTTTTGACTACTGATATCTATAGTGTTGATTGTGGATCCAAGCAAAGTGACATTGTTGATAGTTTCCATCTTTCCTCCATTTATCATGATGCTGCCCATTGGTCCAGTGGTGAGAATTTTTGTTTTCTTGATAATGAGATGTAATCCACATTGATGGCTACAGTCTTTGATTCTCTGCAGAAAATGCTTCAGGATCTCACTTTCAGTGAGCAAGACTGCATCATTTTCATAACACAGGTTGTTGAAGAGCCTTCCTGCAAACCTGATGTCACACTCTTCTTTATACAGTCCTGCTTCTCAGATGATTTGCTCAGATGATACAGATTGAATAGGTATGGAGAGAAGATACAGCCTTGATGCACATGTTTCCCAGTTTTAAACCATGCAGTGTTCTCTTGCTTTGTTTGGACAATACCTTCTTGGTGTAGATATAGATTTCAGATAAGCAAAATAAAATGTTCTAGAATTTCCATTGTTTCAAGGTTAACCACAGCTTATTATTATCTACATAGTCAAATGCCTTTGAACTTGTCTCAGTTTTCTTTAACTTCAATTTGAACTCAGACATTTGGATTATCTGTTCCACAGTCAGCACCTTGTCTCCAGTGATTCGTTCTACAGATATAGCCAGTCTGATTCTTGTGGAGTTCACCTGGTGAAGTCCATGTATATAGATGCTCTCTGTGTTTCTTAAAAAAGGTGTTTGCTATGAATAAATCATTGAGTATACAAAATTCAATCATTTGATCTCCAGCCTCATTTCTATCCCTAAGTCCAAAATTTCCATCGATGCTTCTAGTTTATTTAGAACTTTTACATTCCAGCAACCAATTGTTATTAGTGCATCTTTACTTCATGTATGGCCAACTTCAGACTGCAAAAGTTGGTACAATTCCTCAATTTCCTCTCCTTTGACTTTAGTTGTTGGTGTGTATATTTAAATAACAGTTATATTAACAACTTTTCTTTGTATACATATGGATAATATCCTATCGCTCACAACATTGTACTTCAGAATAGATCTTGAAATGGTCTTTTTTTTGACTATTGACATTTTATTTTTTAAATAAAATTTTTTATTTTGTCATTTTAACAAAAGTTTACAGAAAAGTTAGATTCTCATTCACTTATTGTTGCACATTTTACCTCCCTCTCTCCCTTCCCCCTCCCCAAGTTGACTTTTTTCTTTTCATTAGTTTATTTATAAAATTCTAATACAAATTCAAACAAATTCTTTCAATTTCCCTCATCCCTCCACCTATCAAGTTGTACAAGCCAATGCTTAATTCCCTCTTCCCACTGTACATCCACATCCCTCTGCTTCCAGCCTCTTCCACCCCTCCTGGATCCTTATACTCCGTCTACAGTAACGGTGTTATACAATATTTATCCTTGTGGGACTGAGTTAGTTCACTCAGCATAATGCTCTCCAGTCCCTCCCAAGTTAGGTAATAATTTACAAAGTTATTGCTCTTGCATGCTGCATAATATTCTATTATTTCTCAATCCGTTGAAATGGTTTTTTTATACCACCATTCTTCCTCAATTTTTCACAGCCAGCATAGTAAATCATATAATTCCATGGTTCAAAGTGGCCAAGTACGGTCCATTTCAGCTTGCTGATGCCTAGAATGCTAGTCTTTATATGTTCCATGGAATTTTTTACAACTTCAAATTTTTCTGTGTTCACACTTCATATAGTCCATGTTCTGATTATTAATGATGTTTACAGCTGTTTCTCCTCATGTTTTAAATATCTTCCACTCTAAGGGTCATACTTTTAGTATTATGTCTAGCAGTATTCCTCTGGATTGTTCATGGAGTTTTTAAAGGTCACTTATTTCATAAGTGGATGGCCAATCCTTCTTAGTCCGTCTTATTCTGGAAGCTGTGCTGAAATCTGTCCACCATGGGTGACCTGCTGATACTAAAATATCAGTAGCACAGCCTCCAGCACTAGAGTAGACAGCAATCTATCTTAGTTCAGTACTGACAGACAAGTACTTTATTCAAAAGAAAGAGTAAATTATGAACAAGGAAGTATATGTTGTTGAGTCAACTCTGACTCATAGCAACTCTATGTATAACAGCCTTGAACTCTGTTCTACTGTAAGGCAATTTTATTGTCTCTGACACAC